GGGCTACAACTATATAATCTGGTAATATTTCTTCACTGTCAGTTTCAGAAAAAATTACAGAACCTAAAGACATGTTAGTATCACATACTATAATTTGAGAATCTGATAAACTTTCAGAATCAGATATATCTTTATCTGATAGACATTTTTTACATGTCTTTTTCTAGAAGATTTTTCCTTTCTACGAAAATATGGAATATTTTTCAACATATTCGTTGCGTTTGTCCGCTATATCCGACGGACCGATTTTTTCACTGTGCGTCTGTAGGATATAGCCGATTTGTAGGTATGTGAACGGTGCGCCTGTCGGATATAGCCGACATCAGGTCCGTTGAATTAAATGTGCTATAAAATAGAGACGCACTAGAGTACTGTTTTTTTTTACACACGCCTCTGCATAGAAATGTCTTGTTATTTCAGTCCAATCCATTTATAAATAACTTATTTTTTGATTTTTCCGACACTAATTAAAATGTCCGAACTAGTGGCACGCTCCTAGCGAACATCGATATATTTTGTGACGCATCTAACGTGTCCCAACTAATTATTTGACGCAGTGAATGTGTTAATGTACGTCAAACTACAGTGGACTTACACAACTTAAATCCAAACTGTAATCCTTTTCTATATGAATTGATGGCACATTACTATTTAATTGAATGTCTTCATCCACATCAATTGACAGATCTTAAACAACAAATAAAATGATATTTTTATTAATATTTATTTTTACAATTGGAAGTCATTTTCAAACTACTTGGTGAATTTATACTTGGATGAGCAATATTTTTATTTCTGTAGGATTTGGTAGTATTATCATCAGTGGAATTATTATCATAGGAACTGTATTTTTCATTCAGTATTTGATTCTTTGCATCTTTATTATAAATAGTATCGCATATAACGTTGCTTTGTTTTCTTTTCATTGAAACATGATTCACTTTCGCATAAGGTGATTCTGCTGCTGCAATAAATTAATTCATACTATTTTCAGTCTCATTTAAATAAACAGCTTTATGAATTGTATTTATTTAGTTTATACATTTATTACCTTCCTTTAGATCCATGCTACTTCTATCTTGGGTAGCACTACATATAGCATGAGAATTTAGCTTACTTAGATTATTTTCTATTTTATTGTGTTCACTAACAACTTGATGGGAACTAATAATCCCTAACTTATTTTCAACAATTTCTACATTGTCAACTTGACATAAATTTTGAAGTGAATTATCATTTTTATCCATTTCTATTTCATGATCGGGTTTTAATTCAAATTTACACTCTGTTAATTCACAGTCAGAATCTAAACTCGTACCATCATCCGAGTCCACAATTATTATGCATTCTGTTTCTTTTTTTCCACAACCTGGTAATGTTTCTTCACTGTAAGTTTCAGAATTATAATTTGTAGTCACCAAGGGATCAGAAAACTTAGCTTTTGCTGAACGAACGCATTCTTTTTCTTTTCTCATCTTAGGAACAACAATGGGAGATGAGACATTTGTTGATCCTTGACATATATAGAACAATTTATACAGTGATTCCCAATATAATGTTGGGCGCATTTTTTCGCTGAAATTTAATCAAGTTTAATACAATAATATAAATAAATACATTTCTATAAAATAAGTCTTACTTTATACGGATATATTTCCGTAAACGTGGCAATTCAATAGTTGGAAAACCAGGATTTGTTCTAGAAATGTGTCCTTTACAAGTTACACATATGAACATAGGTGGTTTCAGTTTTAAAGGAAGATTATTTTCAATCAATACAAAATTCCACATTTGATGCATTGACCAGTCATCAGTGTTAAATGCATTCAGTTTGCCACCACAGATTTGACATGTTGACATTACTAAGATCTAAAGAAAAAAACAATTATATTAAACTATGTTCAAGAACAATATTTAGTAAGTAGTTAGTAATATATTTAAGTATATTTACCATAGCATTATGCATTTTACAAAGACAAATGGGAAATTTCAAAAAGTCTCTAGTTTGTTTTCTAGATTCAACGTAAACTAACTAAAATAAAAATAAATAATTATTAGTCTATTTAATTTATTGTACAAAACATTTTATTTACTTACATTACAAGACTCAAATGTTAAAAATAATTTTTTGAGATATTCATACTCATTTACAGACAGCTTATGAGAATAAAGTCGAGAGCATAAATATATTGAACATCTTCTAGCCTGATTCTGATTTCTTGATAAATTTTTTTTCACATAACATTCTAACAATCTAGACTTTTTTAGTGAGTATAATTCTTCTTTTCTATTTTTAGATTTATTGGATTTGTAAGTTTTTTCCAGGTATTTCCAGCAAAATGCACAAAGGCATGAATCAACAAACAATGAGGGCTCAACTAAAAATCATTCAATTATCAAATATTTAAAATTATAAATGTATAAACATAATATGTCTTCCACTAATTTATGTATTCATACTATTTTAGGAGAAGAGTCAAATAGATGAAATATTGAAAATGTAGTCATTAAACAAATAGTTTTTTGATTTATGAACATTTAAAATATAAAATATAGTTAAAACGAGTTTATTGGCAAGCGTATCTCAACAATTTTTGATATACTATTATGTATGTGCCCTTGCTGCCAGGTTGCATGAATAATCACTAAACATTTAACAAAACAATAGTGAGCTAATGGTCCTTTAAACACGATTTAGTGGCTTGTGATTGCAGATTGGTACATTCAATTTTATTGAACCATTGAATTACTACATGTTTCATGTAACCCGGCAATAATCATTTAAAATTTAAATATTCAATGACTTAAAAATAGTTAAATATGCATGCACTAATGAGCTAAAATATAATTAAATATGAAATTATTAAGTGATTTAATATGAGTAATATGAAACATTATAGTTAATATTGAGTTATGGAAATGCATTAAATGTTTTTTATAAAATGTTAGGAATTGCATCTGTCTATTTTTCAACTAACATTTATGCTATGAATAGTAAATAATATTATGAAAATATCCAATAACTGTATCATAACTAATAAGAAACATGTATAGCACAAAATAAAACCGACATTGTTTGTGTCCAAAAAACTAATTGTAAATCAAAAATTGTAAAATAAGATCCCATTATGTGGTGGATGGTATATTATATTATATTCAATTTAAAAGATCTTAAACATTTACTTTTTAAAAATTCATTTTGCTTGTCAATACTTCGTATTTGACATATATGCAAAGGACTGTCAAGTACACGAAAAACCATTCTACACTTAAAACAGTATTCAAGGCAGATATGTGATAATAATTTTGGTGATAATATGTTTCTGAAAATATCAAAACAATATATTATTTTAGAAACTAACAAATTATCACAACTATAATTATTCTGCAGATATAATCTGTAACTTATAACACATTAATTAGGTCAGCTATAAGTCAACAATTAAATTTAAGGGCACTCACATTATTGGCAATGCAGTCGACAGAGAACTTGTATGCATTCTTACAATTTTACCTAAAAATATAAATAATCATGTATAAATTGCCATAACAAATAATAATGTAGATTAATATAGTATTTAATGCCTTTTTAAATTCTTAGCAAAGCAAGGTATGTAGGTATTTATTTTACAAGGACATATATTTTTTGTCGTTGTCAAAAATACTATTTATAGACTAAAAATAATTTAATTTTAAATATCCAGGTCTTTTAAATGTTCTGTTACTTATTATTATTATTTTAACCCCAAGGGATCAGTGGAGAAGTTCAATGGAAGCTGCTTAGAGACTAAAATGCTTGTAAAAGAAAGGAAAAATGTGGTAATTTATAAATAACACTTACTGTCAACTAGTTTTTTATCAGTTAGTTCCTATGTAAAAAAAACAACATTATTATTCAGTATATAATATAGAGTTCAAAATTATGATATATTTAAATTCAATAAAATACATTAGGGTAGTTACCTGCGAATATGATTCAGAAACATTGACATCCTTTTCATAAGATGTAGAGGCTAATTCACACATTTGATCTTGTTGTTTTTCATTTTTATTGTCAATAGAAGTTATACTGTCAGAATCTTCTGAATCGCTTGATTCATTATGAAAAAGTGAATCATTTTCTGCTTTGATATTATTCACAACATCATCAAAAGGTTTAACCCTTTTAGATAAATTATATGTTGCACGGGATACATTTGGCTCAGTACAATTATTTAATATTCCTTCCGTGCTGGCTTCAGTTGTATTACTAATATGTTTATTATCCATTTTGTTATTATTGTTCCTTATTTTCGTTTTTAAAAAAAATTTAAATTACTTAAGGAGGGTAATTTATCTGTAAACAAAAATACTCATTAAAATTATGTTTAACCCGTCATTGGTGACGCTATGAGCATTACGCTCACATAACTGTTATTTTGGGATACAAGTTACTAATGGAAATAAATACGTGGAAAATATCTTATCTATATATAAACTTTCCGTCTTATTACCATCAAATGTCGACAGTTACCAGGCCTTCGTATTTACTCGCCGGGGTTCGGCAGAAAGTTATTTTAGCCGAAACATAAAAATATTTCTTCCATCATACTGATCGACCTAGTAATGCGATAATAGTTTTTAAAAACTGATTTGGATTCGTTGTAATGTCTACTTATAGATTAGTCAGTCCACTTTTCCCAATTTCACCCTTCCAAAAATAATTAAATGTGAGCAAAACGCTAACACGTCACTAATGATGTGAAAAAACTAGCGTCACCAACGACGGGTTAAAAATTATTTGGTACAAAATATAATATGTCTATCATGACATTTTAGTAGACCTTATTAATAATTATGATGAATATATTTAAAATATCTAGTTCAGTACAAGCAGATGTTGTGAGATGATTTGTGAGATGCTCACTGTTTTAAAAAACAATAACATTTTGGTCAAATTAAAAGAATGGAAAATAATTCATAAAATAATAAAATATTTTAATTTCTGTTTTGATAAGGTATTTAAAAAACCCAAAGTAGATAAGTACCTTTGTACCACATTAATCTTAATAAAAAATGCAGTTATTGAAAAAAACCAAGTTTTATAATTGTGTAGGCTACCTATCTTGATATAAAATTAATTGATGGCTATGGAATACACATGCTTAATCAATGACAAAACCAACAAAATAATTAAATTATTTGTTTACCTAACAGTCCAAAACTAGATATACTAAATTTATAATAACCAAATTCATTATTAGAATATAATTAATTACTTACACATATAATATTAAACATTCAATTCAATTATAATTCTACGAATATTGAATAAATAGAAATATAATAATACTTAATGAGTATACAAATGTGTATGGGATACTGAGTAAATAATTGTATTTTCCTTTTTCTCAATGGAAAGTACTCTCTAATAATATTTTTAAACTACGACAAAATAACTAAAATTGGAATTATTTGTTTAAATATCTAATTGTCGGTGGGTTGCCGACCCCTGCCCTAGGGAAAACGCTATTACATTTATCAGATCAATTCATTAAGTACTGTAAACTTAAGTTGTGCTCTTAAATGTATTTATTTATAATGCCCATTTGGCAAGGTTCGCGCAGATCGCCCCACTGAAAATGTTTGCGGCACTGGTCATAATAATACTTATCAATTACAAAGACCAGAAGCTATTCTCTACCACATACAAATTGTATTTTATTTAATATTTAAATAAAATAAGAAAGTACCTAAATTGATTAGTTGCATGTCAATTGGATACTTGGTGAGTAAGTACATATTATGTACAATTTTTTGGTAAGTTTTACTAGTTGGTAGTTTCTCTTTCTACAATATTAAATAAATGATACAAATGTCATTAAGTTTAAACATTTTGATTTCAGTTTAATTTTTTTAGATAATCAAAATAATTGCAAAGAAGAAGAAAAAAATCTATTTGGACTAATTACATATTACCTATGATATGTATTGAAAACCAAAAATTGTGCTAATGTTAATGTTTTATAATTTGTATGCTATTTTATAATTGATTTAAATGAGGTCACAACATCAATCAATACAACTCAAAAGATAAAAATATAATGTATGTTGTGTTTAATACACACAATATGATATGTAGATTGTGTCATAAAATAAAAAAATTAAAAAAAAAAGTAGGTAGGTACTAGGTATGTGATTAATAATATTATGTTTAAATTGCTACTAATAGTACCCAATAAGTAACAACATAAATGCTCAATAGTTAAAAAAAAAATATATTATTAGTAGGTATGTAAAATAATTCAATTACGCCGATTATACCTAAGATAACATTTTATTTTTTAACAAAATTAGCTTGAATATAAAATTATAAAATTAATTCAACCTAGATAGCGTATCTCTTATTAATTACTTTAATAACTATAATATCACAAAATATTCTTTACAAACACTAGTCGTTATGGTCAAATAATATATTATAATATAATGTTATTATATTATATTTAAGCACAGCGTTCAACACAAATGAAAAGTTCAACTCAGTGGAGGAACGGCGAGGGGAGATCTCGGAACATGAGAATACTAAAGTACCTGCTCACTTACTAAATTACCAAATATTACATTTTAGCCAAATTTATTACAATACCCATTGATACAAGCTTTGAACAGTTTATGTTGACAATAGTTTACACATTGACAACATTATAAGTACCTATATGGCTTTATAACACAATACATAAATAATTTGAATTATTTATGATATACTAATTTTATATTTATATTTTATATTAATTAGAAATCTTATTCAATAATAGTGTGTTTTTAGACTTGAATATTTTAATAATTTCATCATGCCATAAATTGTATAGAACAAGCATTTCTATTGCCATAAGCTAAAAGGTTTTAGTTTACTTTATGTACCACAAGAATAAAATAAATTTACTAAATTTTTTTGAATTTTTTTTTTTTTGATTGCAAATTTAAAAGTTAATATTTGAGGTAATATTTATTTTTTAGTGTAATCTACTAATCTATGAAATAATATTATTTTACATTATAAAATTTTTTAAAGAAGAGTTTCTACATTTTTAAAATTGGGTATTTTGTCAGTGGATTTTGACCTAGATGCATACAACCTACATTTACATTTTACATATATATATATTTTATATACATATATTCCCGGGACGATGGATTAAAAAAAAATTTCCAAAAATTTTATATACATATATTCCCGGGACGATGGATTAAAAAAAAAATTTTCAAAACCAATGATTAACAATAAGATACAATAACTGTGTCTATGTAAACTTACTTGTGATGTGGCACAGCGTTTTCTTGAGTTTCAATTACAACATCGATGCATCTATTATACGACTATAATGCGTTTGGTCATATTATACCTACCGTGTGTTAATAAATTGTGTCTTAATAAATTTGATGATTAATCAGATTAGTAATTGGATGTATTTTGATGCTCCTTGAAAAATTTTAAAAATCAGATGGACAATCTGATGTTGATAACTCTGGATCATTTCGATGACGTATCATCAACTAAATAAGGTGGTGCAGTAGTCGTGTGGTGATGAGGGATGACAGTAAGACACGATAAGACATAAGTTATATATTTTATTATACTTATATCACACATGATAATACGTGTTTGATAACATAACCATAAAAGCACGAACTAAGATATCTTAGTTCGTGCGTAAAAGTCTTCCTTGATTATCGATCTGAATAATCCATAGATGTACATTGTACAATAACCATGGCACTACAGTTGTGACCAAGGTAACTATAGTAGAGCCACTTCACCATCGAAATCGCGGTTGTTATTATTTATCGCCATCACTATCAAATGCTTTTCACCAGCATAAGGTGGAACCAGTGAAATACAAGCAATTTTTTGAGGCAAATTTAAATTATATTCTTTATCATATAATTGTACACGGCCTTAGACTATAAGCTAATGTTATTGGTTCCACACTCGACCACCATTTTATTTCGATAGTTCATCAATCGTTATTTCGATAGTGAAGTGGTAGGTACTACGTCCTTGTATTATAACTACCTTGTTTGTGACCAATATTGAAGTCGGCCGCCATTTACAAAGCACTCAATGCTTACATTTATTTTACATTTATTTATATACATATATACTAGGTATGATAATATTTTTTAAACATTGCCAGCTTTGTAAATGGCAGCTGACTTCGATGACAAGAAAAGTAACTATATACAGTTGTTGTATATATCTATGGAATAATCCGATGCACGGTCTTATATAATAATAATTTTTTTATAAGACCGTGTTCCGATGCTTCATTCGATAGAAAACTAGATCAATATTATCATAATTAATAAGGGTGTTCCTTTAGCTGACTGATTTCGATGAAAAAATAAACATTATTACTCACAGTAATGACTAAAGACCGGATATTTGTGCAGCTAAAATCTAAAAAATGTGCAATTAAAATGTTAAAATGTGCAAAAACCAAATTTTCATTATAGGTACCTAGGTACCTAAAATTTTAATTTTAATAGGGGAGACTGGCTTAATATGACATAGCACTTTTTAATTAAAAAAAAATGAAGGAAATAATGTTAGTTAACACATGAAACTTGAGCAACATATTTGTATTTATATTATACACATATTTCTGAAGTCTAATTGTACATTTAATACAAACAAATAATTTTAATTCACTTTTTTTTAAATGTACCTACTATGTCATTTTACCCGGAGTGTCGGGGTCCATATTTGTATAAGCAACCATTGTATACTGGTCAATAAAAATAAATTATAAAATTTTTAGAATTTAATACCTAGTTTAATGAATTTTTTTTATTATAAATAAAAAAATTTTAGAAATATATTTAACATAATTAATATAATAATATAAATATGAAATGAATATAATAATAAACACTGCTATGTCATTTTGCCTGATATAATACAAGTCTTTTTCAAAGTATTTATGGCAAAAGTATTATAATAAGCTTATTTATAAAACAATTATAGTATAGCTTGCCTTTTTATATTCAACTTCGAATAAAAAAAATTGAAGGAACATAAGGTTTAATATTTCAAAATTAAATGGTGACAAATAAGATCAATTGTAAATTGTAATGTTAAATACTTAGTCAACATATTATGTTTAACTATTTGGCAGGACGTAGAAGTATACCTACTTAAATAAATACAATTAGGAAATCACTACAGTATTTACAGTAGGTAATTAATAATGTATTGTAATGTGCCAACTACTTCAGTTGTTGTGTACCTAGAGGTACCTATTTAAATGAAAACCACGAAGTTGATAGAGTACCTATAAATTTTGATATTTATTCCACTTAGTAAATTATTGTAAGTTATATATAAATGATTTGATTTTGACAGTGGTAAACGAGATGTGACTCAGTAGTATTCTAGTGTCTGCTCGAGTTTAGGCTGTCTACTCGTCTGATGGATGGTTGTCCATCGACGTATTTCATCGGGTAGGTACCTAGTTCACTAGATCTCTACCACGGCTTTTTAAATATCAAAATTGGTACACGCTCCGCAAAACGCCCGAGGTCATTTCGGACGTTATTCGTAAAAATATACTATTTCCGGAATACTATTTTGCACTATTTTACTATTATTTTTACCTAGAATTTAGTCTATTAAAAATGCATAATATACCTACCTATCACGTGTTCTTATAACGCCTCATCGCGCTGTACCATTGTTATTTTTACTATTTGTGCGTGCAGCCGGGATTACGCGCTCGCTCTTAATAATTAGATATTATTACTATTTCCTTTGACGCGCGCCGCCCTGCAGCATTTATAAATTATAATTATATTATATTATTATATATTGTGCTATATTATTATATTATATTATTATCAAAAGTCACAGCCCGTTACAGTATCAACAATATGTTTACAAAATTTGATTACAAAATTAATTAATTAATATTTAACCTGTTAAACTGTTAAAAATAGGTATTAAAAAATAACTATAGGTACATTTTACTTTTAAAAACATTAAATATATTTATAAAATCAGTAATATCAAATTATTGGAATTTATTTATTAATTGATACTTAGTGATAATTTTATTTCAATAGGTACCTACTCAAACATTTCTTAGTACATATTTCTGGCAATCCAATTGTTCTAATCTAATAACACCTCTGATTTTTATTTGCTTGGCATGTGCCTGGTCTATATAGGGAGTGAGGACCTCGTAAAGTATTTATCTATATATTTAACCGTGTGTAATTTTTCTTTATAGTGACCAGATGCTTGCCTATTATAGTGCGAGTAGGGAACAATAGTAAGAGTCAAGTAATAAATAGGAGGAGGTTTTTTTGGATTAATTGCTCTACTGCAAGTTAAGTTAGGTTTTATATTTCTCCTTAAAAACAATGGGTTAGGACTTGGCCACTAGTGCCCAGCTCAGCCGACCCTGGAGCACCCTCGGTGTTGGATTCAACAATCATGAAAATGTTGTATACACAAATATATTTATAATACTATACATAAACGCCAACTTATACCCATATATATATATATACATATATAAATATAAAACAATGATGAAGATTGGACATTTACTTTTAAAAGTTTACTTGAATAATAATATTATAGGTACCTACTTATAGCTTATGGAATACGGATTTGTCTTCAAAGTTAAAAATCTATGGGTGATATAACTATAACTTTGGTTTTAGTAATTTTGTTTCTGTGTAATTAATAAGTACCTACTATATATTATTATGCAGTTTCAAATATTTCAATAATTTAATAATATATTATTAAACGAATGATTCCCCTCGCCAGGCTTCACCTTAATATTATACGGAGTTATTTTAGATTCTGAGTGAAACGATGAATGTATTGATTTTACAATGATGTGTGTTTTTTTTAAAATTTTTTTTTGTGTCTGTCCTATTATACATTTCTCAGTAGTTTTCAAAAGCGTTGTGAAAAACAAAATAAAAATTAAGGAAAAACGAGAATTTTTACACTAAAATCTGTTTTCGAAAAAAATCGATTTTGGTTTTTGGTGCAACTCTTAAACAAATGATCGTAGGTAGGTACATGAAATTTTGACTGAATGTTTATATTAGCATTTTCTATACACGATAAAATTTTCAAAGTATTTTGATTTATTTTGAACTGTTTAGGGACATTTTCAGTTTCCAATTTTATTAGTTTTTTTTTCTTTAAATATCAATAAAGTTTTATCTGTTTTGCCAAAAAGTGTAAAAATTTAATACAAGGCTCCTGATATATTGTTACAATATCAGTTGAAAAATATTAAAAATACATAGTCACAATTTTTTTTTATAAGCACTTAAAGATGGAATTTTGACAAAATGTATTAAACTTAAAATTGAATAATTATTTTGTAGTTAAAACTTAAAAATGTATAAAATGTTCAACTTTTATATCTAAGGATTGAAAATTGAAAACAAGATTCTACGAAAGTAGGTACTTAATTCTGTTACCAAAAAATCTATAAAAAATACCTAATCACAGTTTATTATTATTATTAGTTAAAATATATAGTCTTTAGGTATACTTAAAAATTCTAAAAATCAGAATTTGAATAAATGTATTTTTAAAGGAAAAATTGTGGTGAACATTTTTTCACCAAAATGTCAAGTTAAATTTGTATTTCATTGTGGGGCATTGGGGCCCTTTAAAAAAACTTACCCGTGGGCCTTTGGTGTGTCAGGCCGACACTGAGCATACTTCAAGCAATCTAAATGGCCTAGTCTTGGCACCCACACTTTTATATATTTGACAAGATTGTGCCACAGTAGGTATAAATAGTAGGTACCTAATAAGTAGTAATTTTACGGCCAATGTGGAATACCGGGAAATGTGTTCCAGCCAGGAAATTGATTGCCAATAGGTAATAATAAAATTATGATTTATTATGAAAATAAAAAACAATATTAGTTGGTTAATACAAAAACCGTGGTTCACATTTCCCGGTATTCATTCCACTTTGTCCGTAACAGTACCTAATATTCTTTATACTGTTGTTGTACCTACTACGGCGTAATCAGGAATTTGTCTCATGATAGGTGGTGGGTGGGTGGGTGGGTATGGACATTTTTTTACACAATAGTGAAACATGTCTTACGTGACACACTGACACATAAACATTGACCGTGCACTCAGTAGAGCGTATAACGTGATATCACGTAATATCTCGAGCCCTCGAGGGTAATATTATGATATTACCAAGGTGGATTGATATCAATCCACCTTGGATATTACGTTATGACCACGGACTAAGATATAATGGACTGGAAACGACAAGGTGGGCGGGTGACGGGGGACTGCCCGCAAAAGGTGTCTCTGTTATCATCAACACTCATAATCGAATGTTTTCAGCGCTACCAGTGGTTTTATTTTGCGTCACATTTTGTATCTCAGTCCATGTTTTATACAGAGGGCGCTGTAAACTCTCGATTATGGTTGCGACCCCCCGCATTTGCTTCTTGTACATACTTTCGAGGCCACTGATAAGCTGCTCGTTTCCAGTCCATTATATCTTAGTCCGTGGTTATGACGTACCAAGGTTTATAGATAATACTACTCTATTAACCTTGATGACGTACATCGCAATTTATTCTTATCTATATTATTTTGGAATATTGTGGAATATGGTACGGCGCCTTATCACACCACTTTACTCCAGTTTTCCATTCGCAACGCCAATTATTTTATCTCGTATTCATTCGGTGAGTTTTACCGTGTACGGCTCCTGTGACGATTAATTTATTTGCGTTCCTTCCAACAAGTAATAATGTCTCGCGTCGCTTCTCGCGAAGTCCGAGTTCGACGACCCGCTCCGCGACGGGAACGACGCTGCCGACCCAGCCCCACACACGTTTCCGACCTTCTTGCGCCACGTCCTCAAACCTCGTTATTTCGTCCGACGACTGCGCGGCGTGTTAATTTGTGATTTCGACTTCCGACGACTGCGCGGTGTGTTGATTAGTGAACTCGACTTCCGACGACTGTGCGGTGTGTTAATTAGTGATTTCGACTTCCGAGACAGTGAAATGACTTCCTGTCTCGTCGAGAACCGCTCCGCTCGCCGACCGCACACATCGCACGTACACCGGACATCCGGCTCTCGGACGTACCCGCCACGCTCGCCGAAAACGCTCGCCTAGAACCACACCGTTTCCCGTCGACCAGCTCAAGAACGACCGTACCATACGCATTAACCTGTATCGCACCTGTTCGTATGGAACACAAAAAACGGAACCGCATCATGATCATGAAACATTGTGTTACCTACCTATTTTATTCATTCTGTCATGATGTCGTGTAAACCTTCCGACGCAGTGGCGCAACTAGACACTAGGAGGCCCTTAAGTACGAGGTATACCGCTTCTTCCCCACCCACAAGGTAATCAAAACCTTTTCATCGTTAATTATAATCAGGGCTCGGGACTTAAAGCACTTAAAATCATTAAAATAAGCGCTTAAATAAGCACTTAAAAACATCATTATAAGCACTCAAATAAGCATTTAAAAAACTTAAATTTAAGCAAAAATATTTATTAAAAAAAAAAACAATAAAATAAAAATAAAAATTTATCTTTATATTATAAAAAAAAATAAACTTCATTTTCAGGACTGAGGATTTTATGGATTTTCCAAGGGATTTTCTGAAAAATAAAATGTAAACAATATTTACAAATAGTTGAAAAAAAAATAATTTTTTAATAAATTTTAATAAATTTTTTTATTTAAATTATTTTTAATTTTAATTCTATCAAAAACAACTTTGCAGTAGAAAACCATAAAAAAGTATGAAAACTGGTCAAAAAAGCAATAATTATCATAAAAACTTGAAATAAGCATTTTTTTGAAAAATCACTGAAAAAAGATAAAAAAGCACTCTCAAATTTCATAATTGAATGTGTTGTAACATGACATACACTTCTATAGTACTCTTCTACATTTTAAGTCAATCTAAAAAAATAAGCAAATGCTTTAAGTCCCGAGCCCTGATTATAATATATTATATTATGTATAATATTATGTATAATAAATATATAAAAGCGAAATGGAAATCTTTGTTAAAGGGTTGGCTCCCAAAATGCATGACCGATTTGGCTGATTCTTTTGTTGATGTGTTCGTAATTAATAAAGGTTAATATGAAAGAAAATTTTAGGAAAATCCACCTGAAATGTAGAAAACTTGGAAAGCAGAAAAAAAATCGTGGCCAGCCAAATCTGCCCATCAAAAAAAATGAATTAAATAATAATAAAATAAAAGTTTTACTACCTATCCAATTTATTGCTAATTTATTTATACATATAAACCATTTTTTAAATTTTTTAACCGTTTTTACAACAAAGTGCATGGGGTCAATTAGTAATTTCATAACATTAAAAAAAGTTGTATAAACTAAATTTTTTTTTTAAATTACAAATTTATAAAATAGAATAAGTAGGTACCTACCTATTAATATTTCTAGTTTTTTATGAAAAATCATCTACACAACGCTCTACAAAATATTGAGAAATACAATAGTAGAGAATATCAACTCTTGATAGTTTATAAAACACATAATATTATGATCTAATGTAATTCAGATGTGCCAATATAAAATATATATAATTGTAGTATAGTATATTTTTTTATATACCTATCAACTTTGCCTAAAGTTCAATTATACAATTTATAAAAAAAAATACCTACATTTTTGATATTTGACTCTCATTATATCCAAATTGGTGGTTCTTTGTTCTTTTTGCCTTCCGTTTAGCAAAACTACTTCCATACACTCTTCGTGTCGACATAATAATTATACTAAATATACTGATATTAGGCAAATAAACTACTTAAAAATACTTCACGATTACGTAAATAGAAAATGGGTAATATTATACTACCTAATATAGAAATTTAAGTCTAATAAATCTCTTATAAATTTACCCCCCCACCCTTAGAACGTAGCTAATATATAGATACTATTACCATAGTCCATTGTCCATAAACAACACGTATACTAAAATAGTAAATAGAATAAATATATACGTATCATTAAAATTGAAATTCTCATATTATATTCATATAATTATTTATTATAAGTTATAACTAGGGTTCGGATTTGAAGGCAAATGCCTTTCTTTTATTAATCATAATAGAAAAATAATTTTTATACAAAAATGTGTTTCATTTAATTTCTTAGAGGTTGGATCTTTTTTTTTTGCCTTTTTTTGCCTTTTTAGTTTTTACTTATAAATGCCTTTTTGCCTTTTTTTTACCTTTTGTACTTATAAATGCCTATTTAGTATTTTGTGTTTAATTTTTAAGTTGATTTTATAATTTTATACACAGCTTCGTATTATCGTTACAAATGGGTTTTATTATTCGCAATATTTATCGATATCGTCTTATCGAGTATTTGGTATGGCCATAAAATTACCCGTACACCTATTTACAGATTAAGATATGTTCGTAATGCGTAGATATCGTTTTCGATGTACAAAAATATTTTAACCCCTAACCGTAGCCGTTTTTCTGAAGACAGCTTATCAAAATACATGGTAGTCAATTTTTTTTTTTTAATACCAACTAGTTTATACTTTATTTTGCATTAAATTAACTGGTATAACTCAAGTAAGTTAATATTTAAAATTGTTTTTAACTAATTCTTAGGACAAACCTGGTTAAAGAAAAAGGTACCTAATCTATTTATACTTAATAGCATAAACTTAATGTAGTTTAGTATTCATGCTCATTTTTAATTTGTATTTTTCTCAAAATGTGTGCATTTAAAAGTGTTTAAAAAATGTTCACTATTTTATTTTGTAGTATATTTATGAATTGCCTTTTTATATAAATTAAATGCCTTGTTTTGCCTTTTTTTACATTTTAAATGCTTTTTTTTATTGATTATATTGCCTTCAAATCCGAACCCTAGTTATAACACACACAGAAAGGCACAACTAAATAAATTTCAAGACTTAACACTCAAGAGTCGAGACTGTAAACACTGTATTAAACACATAATATTTTATATTGTTAATTGGTAATTGATAGGTAATATTTGTTATTATACATAGTTGCGGGGGCCAGTGGAAATTTCCATTTATGATATATACCTATCTATCACAATGTAATTATTACAAAAATATGTATTGTTAAACATTATTTTCACATTGATTTAACATAAGTTCCTGCTATAATAATAATACGAGTAGGCTGTTGATTGTTGTATACATTTTAGAACACTATTCTTGGCCTCTATTAATCCATGGGTAATGATTTTATAGTATTATTAAATCAATAACTCGTAGTGTAATATAGGTAATCCATAGGCTATTAACAATAACTATTAAAATATAACAGTATAGGTAATTATAGTATAACCATCTCATTTTAATGTAGATGTTTATAAAAAAATATAGGTAATAATAATAATTATAAAATGTGAAAAATACCAAAAACTAATTTTTATTATGGGGGCCCCGATAAATCCATACTTCCAATTAGATATATTTTGAATACGCATGTATAACAAAGTTGGTTCATCGGTCTTAGTATTTTATTTAATTCCTGTTTAGAATCTACCCAACTACCAACCTATACAGCTATACCCAACACTGTTCTGTTTATTATATTTTGTTTGTTTTTTCTAAACTCCTCTCAGGACCAATAACTAAATTATTAAAAACACAATAATACAACGCACTAATGCTTTTTTTCAACTAGATATGTAAATATATTTATATTTTATTTAAGATGACGTAGTACCCATATCTGTTATCTCCGTCTTACATACATACAACATATCACATTTCCGTTTAAAAAATAGTGTACCGCCAGTTTTGATATCAGAGTGAATTTTACCTAAAAGTTTGATAATAAGCAAACTTTTAGGTAAGAACATTATCCATGTTCTCTTGTTCCTTTTTTTTATGATATTTTAATTTTGAAGTGAGTATGTAAAATATTAATATTTGAAAGTGCTTATAATTTTCACTTCAAAATTAAAATATCGTAAAAACCGACGAGAGTACATAAATAATACTCTTACCTAAAAGTTTGACAAAAGGTCAATTTCATTCTAATATCAAAACTCATAGCACACTATTGAAACTGGGAAATTAAAATTTTATATGTCAAACTTGTGTAAGATTCAATTTAATATTATAATATAATTTACAACCTAATATTACCGCGTCCTACTATGTACTTATTGCAATATAATATTATTTGTTTTTGCAGTTGATTATTAACAGTCTGGCCATAAGTTAATGAGGATCATTATATGTTGTCTTTAGGTATTTATAGTTTAAAATATTATCTACAATTGATTTTTCAAATATATATCACTGTGTATAATATTTTAAGCTATTACCTAACTCATTACATTCATATTATATTCAGACAGTCAAGCACCAATATCATTTATTACAAAGATCTTTAGAAGAAAATTACCGTTTAAAGTAAATAATTTACAGTTAATAATATTATCGTGTATAAGAATCTATGTTTCTTTTTTTAAATCTAAATACTTCTATAAATGTTTAATGCATGATATTTATTTAATTTGTTGGTACAATATCACTACTATAAAATTTAACGGCTTACCACATTTTGGTGTTTGGGAAAACTAAATATTCAAGATTATATTAGTTAAATAATGATGTTTAAATGTTTAATTTGTATATTTTCCTGTATGAAGGAGGTTATAACCTCCCCATTGTCGGTTTTTTAGCAGTCCTAATTATTATTAGATCTATTTTTTTGTAAGTTTTCCCCAAGTCATATAATTAATTATAAAAAATAGGAAAATTAAATAAAAACAAGTAAAGATTGTGACAGGTAATATGAAAATATGTATTTAATTTCAATTATACATAATTTATACATTTTTATTTTTTAATCGTAAATATTTCTGTCACCGCATGGTTGGGTATTCAAATTTATTTTTGAATCCTATAAAATTCTTCTGCTGAGCAGCTTTCGCTGATTTAAACGTTAAAATATAAAAAAAACTTTTTAAACGATGTAGTGATGAAAATGAGCTCTCTCCCATTGCAGTTGATGCAAGTAGTTTTAAAAATACTTGAACAAGTTTAAAAATTATTGGAAAAACATCAGGACTTATATTGGAGTAGAGTTCAATAACATTAGTTTTCTAGAGTTTGTTCGGTGATAAAGTAGTGCACCGAGTGTACATCAAATCTAATTCCCCATTTAAAATAGAACTATTTATATTTAACCCGTCGTTGGTATCGCTATGTAAAGT